ATATATATATTTACTTTTTTATTGTGAATTTAGTGAAAATTTACAGAACACATCATCAGTTCCACATTCAACAATTATGTACTTTGGGTCGTTACAATGATTGCAATCCACCATATGTACCATCAGTTAACATTATTTACCTCTAGTCACTTTACTTTTAACCCCCCTCCCCCACCTGCCCTGTGACCGTCATAGCATGATTCATTTAGCAAGAAAATATTTCCTTAACATTTACAATAGTTGTTTTTAAGTGCTTCCGAGTTGTTCCTGTATAGGGTTTCTGAGGAGCAGCAGATTAATTGAACCGCCAACCTTGCAGTTCAAGCTGATCTTGCAGTCCAGTTCATTATCCTGTAGCACCACACCAGTGGTCTCACACATTATTTGCCCTTTTGTGATTGACTAATTTCACTCAACACAACGTCCTCCAGGTTCATCTATGTTGCGAGGTATTTTGCATAATCTTCCTTATTCAGTGTTGCATAATATTCCATTGTGTAAATGTACCAAAGTGTGTTAAACCAGTCTTCTTTCGATGAGTATTTAGGCTGTCTCCATCTTTTTGCTGTTGTGAGTAGTGCTGTAATGCTAAAGAACTGTTTCTTGACCTTAGATCAGTGTGCCTAGTATATTAGTTAGAAGACTTACATATTTAAAGTAGAATGTATACACTGGCTTTTTATGCATACAGTGCGCCCATGTAAATAAATGCACCCACACCTATAATGTGTAGCAGACCTTGCTTGCAAAAACAGCATAGAGGCAGATGTTGTGTGGTTGGTAAAGAAACCATATAGTGTATATTATTTACATTAAAATATAGTATTTTCTTTGTCTATTATATGAAGTAGAAATACCTAATACAAAAAGTAGACTTCTGATATTTGCTCTGGGAACAAATTATTTTGCTATCTTTTTCCTTCTTTATTTGGAGTTTCTTTATCGAGAAACTAAAAATCAACACAAGTTGGTAATTCTGAAATCTCTTTAAGTAGTTAATGCTCAATTATGATTCTTGATACCAAGAAATATAGGAGTTAAATCTGTAAAAGACAGTTTCATTTCTGTAGTGAAAATAATATATGTTCTTCTTTATTAGAAATTTATTGAATTTGAAGACTCTCAAGAACAGGAAAAAAAGGATTTACAGACCCGAGTGGAGTCTTTAGAATCTCAAACAAGACAACTTGAACTCAAAGCAAAAAATTATGCTGACCAGAGTAAGTAAAATACCTTTCCTCATAAGTGCACGTTAAAGATTAGTCTCTAATAGCACAGTGGTTTATCCTGTTATTTCACTGGTATTTCCAAATATATGCTTGCGATTATTAGCCCAAATTCAAGAGTGAGACATGGGAGCTGGATTTTGTTCATGTTTTCACAGGATACCCATGTGTGCAAAACCAGCAGAATCAAAGATACCTACCTATAAGATTCTTGTCTTCCACAGTGTTGTAAATTATATCATTTGCATGAAAGTTAATTTTTATTTAAAAAAAAAAGATTGTTTTCTTGCATTTAGGTCCCAGTCTTTGTTTGATGTTAACATTATATGCAGTAGCCCTCAGTCACAGTTATCTGGGATGTGTATGTTAGTCTGTGTATGGATCATTTCTTCAAAGTATACAAGTTCTATTGCTTCTACCTTGTAAGTTTCATATGTAAAAAAATTCATTGAATTCCCTGTTTGTTCCTTTCTAATGGAAAAACGATAGCATTAGGGGAATAGAACTTAATTTTTGAGAATCACTAAATTTTTAATTTAATTTTATATATTATTCCTGACTTTAGAAATAATGATTGCTTCAAATATCCCTAAGGATGATTTTTTCTTTTTGGCTAATGAAAAAAGACCTAATTAAACCAAAATTAGAAAAATAAATTATGAGAATCTTTATGGCCTGTTTTCATGTCTGTTGCAGGTAGGCAGAGGTCCCCACTTTTTCCTCTCAGCTTTGTAAACTTGCAGAGTACTAGGAAGCCACAAATGGCCAGCAGTTAGTCTTCGCATGTCATCGAGTAAGGCTACATGGTGACACCTGTTGTTAATGAATTGGCATGCACACTGGAAAACTAGACTTAAAGTATGTGTGAGAATTCACTACTTCTACAACTCTGCAAGAGTGTAATAGAGCTAATAATGGAGTTCATACCTCCTGGAATTCAAGGAGTGCTCCCAAGACTGTTAAGCAGAGGTCAGAAGGGAGCCAGTGGTTGTTTGGTAACAGAAGTCAATTTTAATGAGACCGGTTGATGCTTTTAGGCTTGGTAGACGATAACCCAGAGTGGTGCACCCATCTTGTTAATATTCAGTATGTTAAATGATGTCATTGATTCTCCTATAGAAGTTTGTGGTCGTAGGAAGTAAGAACCTAGAGAGATAGGTTCTACTGTGCATATACTGATGAGTAAATTTCTGATTACTCATTTAGACAGTCTTATGCCAGTTGCAAGTTTTGGTACATTTCAAGATTCTTCAAAAAAGAAGAAAATTTAGATATTGGAAGTAATTATTTTGACCCTAACTTGATTGTGTTGTTATAACATGAACTATAGAATAGTTTGGAGTCCTGGTGTGGCTCTGTGGGCTAATGTGCTGGACTGCAAAGTCAGTTTGAACCACAAGGTAGGTGGTTCAAGCTCCCCAGCTGCTCTTCAGAAACCTTATAGAGGTTCCCTGTGGGTTGGAACTGATTCGACAACACTTAGCAACAACAACAACATAGAATAGTTTAGAACCAAAAACGTATAAAGGCACAATTTAGTGTTTTTAGTTTCCAGATAGAACCAACCTAAATTTCATTTGTTCTACCTATTAAATTTTCTTCTTGATTTCTGAAGAGCGTTAAGTTTTGCATAGGAAAATTTTCTTTTAGCTTGGAAGGAAATTCATTGTTAAGAATCCTTCTGTGTTTTAAGTAATCTACTTGTATGATAAAGGAGATACTACAGGAAGAATTAACTTGTGGTTGAAATGGCATTTTCTGTATCATGCTGCCTTAAACACCTCAGTCTCTGAACATACACTCAAAGGAAGTATTCCTTCTTTCACAAATGAGATGGATTACTAGATCTTCTGCATATGCGTTTGCCCTTATACTACTAAAGTAAAATGTAGGCTTCCAGTCTAGTAAATGTCAACAAAACATAATAGTTTCTTAATTGAAGGAAATGGTCAACTCAAGAGAATTTTTGAATGTCTTAAATTTGTCTTTTTTCGGTGTCCTAGATTTGTCATGCAGTCTCTTTTGTTCAGTGAGTCGGAGCTAATGGTGTTGGAAGTGGCATGTCTGTGGTACCCATCCTCTCAGTCTTCTCTCCAAAAGTAGTTATTACCATATTTTCCATTTCAGTTCAGAGTAATTTAAAATGATTATGTCATTTTAAATAACTGGGTTTACCATAGGGAAAACCAAAACCCAACCCAACCCACTGCCTTGTAGGGCAGAGTAGAATGGCTGCAAATCTTTACAGGAGCAGAAAACCACATCTTTCTCTCTTGTAACTACTATTAGGCCTGGATCACCGATCTTGAAGTTAATGTTTCTCACTGTGCCACCTCTAGGGAACGGATAAGGAAATTCTTAACCAAGTATTAAATGTGGTTTTGAGTTTAATTCAGTCTGAAATTTTTATTTTTATTTTTGTTGTTAATATCCTTCCAAGTCTACAATTCTACATTGGAATTTTGGATTACAAATTAATTTTGATGTCTAAATAACAGTTAAAGAACATGAAAGTGTCGCTAATCAAAATTAGCCATTCAGGTACACAAAGTTAATAACGCTAAACCTCAGGGTCTGTGAACTGTGTCTATGGTGCATCTTTTTTATTAATGCTTCGGAACTTACTGAGTTGTCACGTCTCCCTTCTCCTGTATTTTAGACCTTATAGTCGCTCTCTCTTTCTCCTTTCTAAGACCTTTTATTTTTTTCTAGACCGTACCTAAATATAATATGAAATTTTAATTTATCTTTAGGAAAAATTTCTTACCTTTTCTTTTAAAATCACATTTAAAAAGATGTATTGGTGACAGACAAAAAAAAAAAAGATGTATTGGAAAAATATGGAATTGTTAAAAAAAATTCTTTAAAATTTTTCTCAAAGATGTTCCCTCCCCCAAATATCTAATATAAGTCATAGTCCCTTGTTTGTGTTGTTTTCTAAGGCGGTGGTGGTAGGAGGTAATATGTAAATATCATCAATACTTAGGTTGTTGGAAAACCCAGCACTGGGAATATGTGTTTTTAAAGAAGAAAACTAAATTTAAGTGGATAGGTTGATAGAGCATATACTCTTTATTTCATAATAAGAGATTATCTAGACTGTTTAATCTTCTTCATTCTAATATCTTTGTTATTGTTTTTAAAGAAAATATGGTGATTTTTGTTTAAGTAAGGCTAACCTAATATCTAGTTTAAAATGCCATTGAAAATTGGAGTTGACAGTATCTGTAGTCGAGGAGTGGTGGATGCAGTTTTTCTGTTCAGTGCTGTTTCGAGTATAATCTGGTAACTGAATCTTAGCCAATTTCAATGTTTTATATTTGTATTATAAATTGAAGTCTTTAATTAAAAAAAAACAAAACTATGCCAATTCTGATGTGTTTGGGGGGTATATTTCCCTTCTGGCCAAAATAGTAGTCACAATACAAGTCCAAGTTCTGCTCTGAAGACGACTTTCTATATTGAAAGGGGAAATTTTGGTTGCAGTTATTTGCTGTTTGAGGATCAAGAAAGTGTCAAATAGAAAGTTACTTGAACGACCATATTCCCACTTTTGCTAGCATGGAGTCTGTCAGATTGTGGTATGATTTAGCAAAAATGTTGAGAAGCTGAGGCTATAAGATTTTTTGCTGTAATTTTTTTATGTGATCTTTTTTGATTTTGGAGATTTCTGGTTCTCTTTTAAAATTTGAAACAACATGGGAATGTTCTTGGTTATTTTGGCATGATTAAATCAGAAAAACAATGGTTGTATATAATTCCTAGTCTGGAGTCACAATAACATTTCTTGATATGTAACATCTTTTGAGCCCTAAGGAAATATTTAAACTATGTTTGGTTTAGATTGAGAAAGGTCTACTGGTAACTCAGCTGTGTGAGGGATCTGGAATCAACCTTAACATTCATTGTATGTTGGTAATGGGTTCTTTGTCAGAAAGTAGCTCTTACAGTCTTGTTTCTGTTGTATTTTGAGTATTCCTAGTTTATAAGCCAAATCTTATTTGATATGGTTCAGGTAAATATAAGAGGGCTTCAAATGTTTATGGAAAAGTTTTGTTATATTTAAAATCCATTTTTCCACGAACTTTTTGAAGCCCCTTCGTATAGACATTTTAATACAGTTAGAAATAGTAAACCATCTCTCTGTCTAGCATGCTGCTCAGGTCCCGTAGTGATCTGTGCCGCTCATTTTGTAGGCGGGAAAGGGCATGTACAGGGCCTTCTCGTCTTTTATTTTCTTCATATGTACGTGTTTGTTATTTTTTAATCTCACTATAGTTAGTATAATTGTAATTTTGCATCTTCCCACATAACATTATCATAAGCATTTTATTGTTATGTAATTTTTATGACTACTCTGTAATGTCTGCATACACCCATCATCCAGAAGCTAAGCCTGCTTTCCTCTACTGAGAATTGCTTAGTAGCTACTTTACTTTTTCATCTTGGCTACCGAAAAGCTTACAACAAACTTTGAAGCTCATACATAATGGCTACTTTGGATTTTTTATCTGTATGATGTATTTAAATTGCCCTTTCCCGTGATCCAATTTTATGCATTAAACATACACACTTGTAAGTGATTTTAAATCCTGAATGAATCAGGGCAAAAATAAATAGAAGTACATTTTTTAAATTTCCCCTTGTGGTTGGACATTTTTTTCTACTGTAGTGAATCATACTGTTGTGGGCATTTTTGGACACCTACAAGTTTTCCCCTTTTTGGATAATTTTCTTTGAATATATTTCAGGAAGTAGGTTCCAGAAAATAAAACATTTTAGTGGCTCTTGGTATATAGTAGTGTTTGCCAATTTTAATGTGAACAGAATTGGAGAAATATTAGTGTAGCAGATTCCATTTCATCATAGTTTATGAATCTGAATAATCATTTACAACATATTAGTACCGAGCACTAAGCCATTCATTATTTGATTTTCTCTTGAGACTGTGTCACCCAAACTCCTGGGATTGGCAATAGATTACTTTTCCCTTG